AATATGAGCAAGATTTCATCTCAATGGTTGGAATATACTTTGCTTACAAGATAGCAGCTCCCCAGTGACCAGGAAATGTTCATATATATAGCTCCCAAATTAATTTCAAGAAATTTCTAGTTAGAAACAGAATTCCTTAGATTCATAACAGCATATTACCTTCACAGATCATTGGTTCTATCGTAAATGCATGGCCAGGCTTCATTACTCCAACAGCCTTATTTTCTGGGAAGGACAATAAAATATTATCGGGAAATGATCACTTCTCACAGACAAGAAAGGAATGAAAAAAAAGAAAAAGGAAAAGGACCCCAATGTAAAGTAGTTTTACACAGTTTTTTTTTTTTTTTTAAAAGCCTTTCTTTTATTTTCTTTCACTTACTATAAAGTACTTTGGATAGAGGTATTGAAAGCTGGATCCAGTATAAAACAATTCACCCAAAACAAAAAGTAGATAGAAAAAAATGAATTTACAAAAGTCCTTTTTAATTTCCACTTTCCTACCTGCAGCTGCCAATCCTAACAAAAATAAATTCTAGTGATTTCCTTTCCAAATAAATTTCCAAATAAATGTATACATGTTATTGTTATTGTGCTCATTTCTTTGGTAAGTGAGGTTATTATGTCATGGGTTTTTCTGGGTTTTTTTAATTATTCTTATAGCTGCCCAGAATCACTTGTATGGGACAAGTGACTATATAAATCATATAAGTAATTAAACAAAACACCTAGAGTGCATATATAAGTGAATGTATATACTTGCTAAAAGGTATATATTTAAAAAGGGCAGGGACGAGATAAATAGCCCCACAATTTAATAATTAATGTTTAAAACTTTCTATAAAAGCTACTCCACTTATATAATTAAGAGATTTCCATCTGGCAAGGAACAATTTCATGCAGAGTTGACAGAGAAAAAGACCTTCTTGGTGTTACAAAAGGGTTAGTATAATCACCTTCTTTGTGCAAGCAAGGAAATGAAAAAGAATCTACATCAAACCAAGGCAAATATATAACACACTCCAGCAATGTCAAGATATAGCATTAGCCTGGTCTTTTTAAAGCAATTAACCATTGTTTCATGAGTTGTTTCCCTTCTTTAAGGAAAGAATATAGGCAAAGTACGAGCTATATCCACATCTCACTTCTCAGTCTTGCCTATGTTAACTGTCTTAAAACTAGCTATGGTTTGCCTAAAAAAGCCATGAATGTACCTGCAGCAAATGTGGGGAAATTTCATTATTTTCAATAAGAGCAATATAACTTCATAATGTATTTACAGTTGCACAAAAATAGAAGACATTCACATATGTGTATTGTAGGTATTTTATTTAATTAGTTATACAATTTATGTACTTGTTCATCTCATCTCTGGGCAGCTTACAAGAATAATTAAAAACACTGAAAAACCCATGATATAATAAACCCAGTTACCAAAGAAATGAGTATAAAATCCTTCACCGGCATCTGACATCTGACCTTGTGGTAAGATTTACAATAGGATAACCATGCAATCTCATTTTACTATCCATCAATCTTCACATCCTCTACTGAGAAACACTTCCACCAATCAATCTGAATTATTAACTAGACTAGGCGAGAAGGGGAGCAGACAGGCAAGCTAACTAGGAAAGAATGGGATAGCAGGAGGAATTGTTCACATTACTAAAATACAGGCAGTCCTCAACTTACGTTCGTTTAGTGACTTATGACAATTTTTCAAGAGTTACAACCTTGCAGCATCCCCAGGATCACGCGATCAAAATTCAGACGCTTGGCATCTGGTTCATATTTATGACCATTGCTATGTCCTAAGCAGTGGTGGGTTTCAAATCCCATTCCAACTGATACGGTTGGAACAGGGCTGGCGGCATCATGGACGCGCGCAGCGCATGCACGGTGCACATGCATCTTAGCACCTCCGTGATGCTCCAGCTGCTCTGCAGAGCATCATGCAGGCACTGTACGCGCCATGCGCGTGTGCGTCAGCGCAGAAGCTTTAAAACACAGGTAAGGAGCTCAGGTGGGTGGGCCCTCTGGAGCACCATACCGGAACGGTATCCCGTGCTCCGGGCTGGCTTCAGTACACCCATACCGGGGCGTACCGCCTGCAACCCACCACTGGTCCTAAGGTCATGTAATCCACCTTTTTGATCTCCTGACAAGTAAAGTCAATGGGGAAGCCAGATTCACTGGGTTAGTACTGGGTTTACTAACTTATCGACTGCAGCGACTTGCTTAACAATTGTGGCAAGAAAGGTCGTAAAATGGGGCAAAACTCACCTAACAAATGTCTCACTTAACCACAGGAATGTTGGGCTCAATCGTAGTTGAAGACTACCTGTATATTGTTTGTGGAGCCGCCCTTCAAGCCTACATCCACAACAATACTAACTGCTTTGGCCAGTTAAGGTGCTGACCACAGTATTCTGATTATAAAATAAGCCTTTGTGCTTCCCAACCCATTTTAAGATGTTCCTAAAGGCTGAGATGCACATATGTGTCTGTCACTTCCAACTCCAACTTCACTGTCTTTTAAGGTCATCAGCTATAGAAATGTAGGAAACAATCACGTTTACTGATTGCTAGCAACACAATACCAGAGCAGGTATTCCTTATACTTACTGGCATAATGTGGCACATTGGGAGCGGTGTGGAACAGCTTATGAATCCCATGCCCACAGTAACTCCGAACTACTGAAAACCCATTGGCTTGAGCGTGTTTCTGTATAATATTCCCCAATTCTCTATACCGTACACCAGGCTTTACTGCAAAGCAATGCATATGTTTAGAAATCACAATGAAAACAACGGTCAGTATGCATACACATATTCTCTTTTTTTGCACATGTGTACCTTCTCCCACAAAGAATTGCACAAGAGCTCAGAAACGGGTGGAAAAAGGAAGAAAAGGAAGACTTTTGATCAAATACTTTCAAAATGTAAAGGTTTCAAGTTTGGACTCACAGAACATTTCAACAGAATGATCTCGGGGAGATCAAGCTTACCAGCTGCCCAGGCTAAAAAGACAAGTATCATTTCTAGTTTTCAGACACTAGTTCCACAGCTACAAGGCATAATGCAGTTTGCATTGTTTGTGGGATGGCTGTATTTAAATAGGGTGGCAGGCCAGCTGAATTTTAAAAAGAGGGTAAAGTCATGGAAGCTCAGGCTATAAACTGCTATTGGACTTGATGGCTGTTATATTACCTCTGAAATCATGAGCAGCAGCATTTGCCAAATCTTAGGGAGCAACTGCTGAAAAGGGTCATCATTCCCCTTCTATGTTTGTGAACCTCCTAAAGGCATCTGCATGGCCCTCAAATGACAAAGAATGCTGAAAACATGGACCTCTGGCCAGGTTTGGCCTGTGGTTTAGGGTGACGGGTGAATCCAGTTGTTGTTTATAACTTAGCATGATAGGCTCCTAATTTAATATGCTTGTTTTACTGAACATTGTTTTAACAGCGTCTTGCAAACCACAGTGGTTCTTATAGGCAAGAAAAAGGAAGAGCTACAAAGCCTTCAAACTGTGAGTCATAATATTTAGGGTAGGCAAGCCAACATTGTGGCAAGGATACACCCTCTTTTGTATGCTTCCTAAAGACTCTTAATATTTTTAACTCTTCCTCTTTTAATTACCACAAGTAACATATTTCTACTTTAAGAGAAGAAAATTTCCTCTGGTTTTGTCCAAGGTTTAACTGTTGAGAAAAGCAGTATTTATATATTAGTCCACTATGGATTTTCAATAAAAATGTAGCAAAGTGTTAATCATTCCTTGGGCAACATAAAAAAAAACAACTCTGTGTCCTGTTTAAGTCTGAGTATTAGTTTCCCTTGCAAATGCTAAAGCTCCAGGGGAAGAATTTTGATAATCAGTTTAATCTACTATTTTGTTATGCAAGCTAATTGCCTGTATTCTGAAGAATCTGAACTGCCTCCAGTAAATAACTATTTACATGCTTAGGATGCCTAAAGATTAAGTTTCATCTTATGTTACATTAATTCATGTTCACTATCTGGCTCAAAACATTTTTAATTTGTCACCAACATGCAGATTTACAAGAGAAACAGACTGCAACATTCAGCAAAGAATTCTAAACGTGACATTCCATTAATGTTTAGCCAGTGCTCTGGAAATGATCAATTTTCTGAAACTTTTTTTAAGCCATTTATTACGCTATTAAAATTAATCATTTTGAATAAGCCAGTCATCACCACCAAAAGGAAAAAAAAAATTATAGCAATTTGGAACAGTGCAGCATGTTGATTGAGACAGACTCCTTAAGGGAGGCGCAGCTCAATGTAATTGAACTTCTATCTGTAATGTGTAAAAAGGAAGTCAGGCACAGGTTTCAAAACGCTCTTACCTGCATCAATTGCTTGCATTAAGCATTCATATGTCGTCTGAACTAATCGTTTTGCACCCTCATCGACTTCTCCAACATAAAATGTCTCATTGAGATCCCCATGATAACCATTACGATAAACAGTAATGTCAACTACAAGAAACAAAAGGAACACTCTGTCTTCATATTCTGTTTTTGCAATCATAACAAGCCTATGATCAACTATCCAAAACACATCACAAAATCAGAATCATCATGTGTGTGCCTCAGGACTTAGCTCTTTTTCTCCTATTTTATTTGACATCCATATGAAACCACTAGGAAAGATACACCATCCGTCTGAGGCAAGAAATCACCAATATACTGATGACATGCAGCTGCATATTAGCTGATGGGTGCTAGGCTCTAGAGGGGAAATGATATTAACTCAGATGAAATCCCAGCAAGACAAAATGACTGTTTATCCAAAAATTACCTAGAGCCATAATAATTTCATATTTAGTGTCTGAGGTGATTATAGCGCCTCTGAAAAATTTTACCTGGAATCCTGGATTGAAAGCTCTTCCTAAAACATCAGATAGAGACTGGGCCAAGGAAAGCCTCTGCCCAGCTACAGCTGAGAACGAAATGCAAACATTTCTGCAAAAGGATGCTCAAGGGGTGATTATTTCTGTCCTTACCACCTCACAGTCGAGTCAAAATATTGTGCTTTATTTGGGCTGCTTTTGAAGACAAAACAAAAACTAGTCCAAAGTGCAACAAGTTGACTGTTGATGTCTTACACTTGGGTCAGCAGACTTTCAGAGTGCGTTGCATATGAATATTGGAAAATTAATTGACAACATCAATGGCTGTACCAACAACATGATAACCAAAAGCCTCCTTGTTTAGTGATGAATTATCAAGAATTAAAAACAGAAAGGTCCTGTTGGTTCAGATTAAAAGTTTCTCATGGTGATTACCAAAAGGCATCTGAAGAAATATCCATAACATCAGCACGTAAATATAATTTACAATCTGCTATGGCAATGCAAGAATTGTTTTTCAGACTGATAAACATTCAAGGGTCTCTTATGTATACAACCAGTTGCAAAACTCCCATTTTCAGTTCAGGCTCCTCTCAAAAAGCTTGACAGCCAAAAGGGACAGTTAGTTGGAAGATGCAGAGACTTTTTTTTTAGAAATTGCTATAAGGTTTATGGCTTTAATTCTGGACAAATGTAAAAGTTTGAAAAGAAAAACAAAAAGAACTTAATCGGTTGCATCTGTATACAATTAGTCAAGTAGGAGATGAATGAACTATAACCAGTAAGCTTCCTCGGCAGTTTTTTTTACAAATATCAAAAATAAAACATATGTTTTGAAGTTTGGTAATCCCCAAAGCAAAACAAAACTAATTATTTTGGAAGGACATCATCGTTAGATAGATGTTTACATAGACTCTTTCTCCAATGGCAATATCCTTCCAAAATCCTATTTCCTATGAAAATATTTATTTGAAGTTTCCTACCATTAACAATATCGCCTTCTTGTAAGCGTCGCCTGTCTGGAATGCCATGGCAGATGACTTCGTTTACTGATGTACAGCAAGACTTAGGAAAATTGTAATAATTCAGTGGCGATGGGTAGCAATTTCTGGCAATGCATGCCTGAAAAGAATTTTGAATACGATTTTCACTCAAAAATATTCCAAAATGTCATTTTAATAAGTGCAGCAAATTTAAGAAAGCATAATTTCTGAAAGATGAACTAAAATCAACTATATAGGATTAGACATTTAATCTCTCCCTGGAACGAGGATCTATTTGAGACCCAATAGCATTTTTAAAATACACATGATGCCTGATAACATATTAGCTTCCTGATTTTTTTAAATTTTAAGTATTAGGGGAAAAGAAAAGTCGGATAGTACAGAGTCTGCCAGGTTTGCAGAAAAGTCTCAGGAATGCGCTAGTGCTACGGGTGCAATGTTGGGAATCCATGAAATAATGTTATATAGCCACTCCTAACTATGCAGGAGATTAGTAAACTGGTTTTTTTTTAAAAAATTAAACACAGAATCTAAGCTTAAAAATATGGTAACAAAAATAGAACCTCATCAAAATATCCTTACTAAATGAACAGCATGATCTATTTCTTCAGTGGTAACACCTGCTTTCACCATCATGGCAGCAACATCTAAGACTTCTCTAGCAAGCTGCATGATAAAGGAACAGAAATTATTCATAATGATAAACAATTTTCACGGAATCAATATAAATGCATATATATGTGTGTGTGATTACATTTTCAAAGGAAGCATGCAAAAACATTTCTTTTTAGATTCTACTTCATTTTAACTAATGTTGTGCATTATAAACTTACCCTACACACAACTCGCATCCCTTCTATATCTTCTGAAGAAAGGATCTTTATCTGAGAAGTTCCTTTAAGGGCCTGTTCTGACTCAGACATACCTAAAAGAAAGGATTGTTACCATTATGATAACTAATAAATTGATCTCCCAGGTTTCCTCCAGAAAGCACAAGCTTAGAAAACTTATAAAGCTGTCCTCTTATTTTATCCCAATAATGACACCCAATGAGCTGAGTGATGATTGCTCAAAAATCACTAGGGAACTTGTGGTTCAGTGGGAATTTAAATCTGGTTTATTCCAGCCCCCGATTCCAACTATCATATTATACTGGGAAATGATATCTATTCACAAATTTTTTTAGAAACAAATGCATGGTGGTTGCATGCAAAAGCTATGGAAGGTTTACGTCCAGTAAACTACCACAGCATTTGCAAATAAATTAATGGTTAATATAAATCAATGGTGTGACCACATCTGGAATAATAATGTGTGCAATTTTGGGCACCACACCTTAAAAATGATACAATGGAAGTAAAGATTTGGAGGAAGATAAAAAAAAGGGGCTGGAACAGTTTCTGTGCAAAGAGAGGTTGCAATATTTGGGGCTTTTTAGTTTAGAAAGGAGACAACAGAGAGAGAATATGATTGAAGTATACAAATTACCTACAGTGTGGATAAAAAGAAAAAGAAGGCGAAGGTATTCTCTCCTTCCCAAAGGAACCAGAGGTCACCCGTTGAAATTGAATCTTAAAAGAATCGGGACTGACTAAAGGAATTCTTTTTTACACAATAAGCAATTCAACTTTGGAACTCACTACCACAAAATGTAATCCTGGCTACTGGTTGGATTCCAAAGAGTTGGGATTAATGGCGATTAGTTTGACGGCAGTATAAGTGCTTCTGAAGGCCATCTACTGGAAGACTAGAGAGCTTTCCTATACAATTGGTTGGTCATTGTGAGAACAGATTACTGAACTAGATGGGCTAGGGGTCCAATCTACATGGGCAGTGCTGATCTCTTATATATGGCTGGATCAGCTTGGATCCAGATGAAAAATTGGAATGCTCTGATGTTGAAATGTCTGTACCAGAATGTTCCATTCCAGAATGGTAGGTTTTGCACATAAAGTCTGCAATTATATTTGAATTTTTTTTTAAAAAAAAGATAAAGGGTATTAATAAAAGTGAAATATAAAACAGGAGCAAAACAAGAAACCCTGGATACGACACATCTTATTTGAACTTCCCCTAATTCTTCTCAAACATTTGACAGAGTTATCTGATGGAATATTATGACCAAATGTGTGTTACCCAACAGAAGGATGGCTAATGCTTATTTGTCAAATTTTAAAAAAAATCACTTCTGCTTGAATTTTTTTGTTTGTTTGTTATTTTTCTAAAGCAACTGGTCACCAAACCTGAAGCATAATACATCCAAATATTTTTGAGACATACCTATTCTGAAAAAGAAATAGTTAAGACAGTTTAAATTAATCACAGGCTCAACAAATGAAAATTGTACTATGCCTATAATTACCTAAGGTGTGATCTGCATAATCTGGCCTTTGAATGTAACTCGGCACAGGCCTCATTGGCATCTAAATAAAGCACAATTAGGATCTGTTTAAACATATTTATTACCTTAGTCATTCTGAATGTGGATAACAGATGCTAGAAAACAAACTATAAAATGGATATTTTCAAATCAAATGAAAGCATATATTAAAATCTCTCATCCAAGAGCCGCAAGCCAAGTGTGTTGTTTGATAAGCCAGTGTCAGATAACAAAAGACACAACAATGGGAGACATCAGCAAAAGTAACTGGAAACCCAAATTATATACCGTAATTTTCAGACTATAAAACACTCCAGACTATAAGATGCACCTAGCTTTTGGGAAGGAAAACAAGAAAAGAAAATCTGCCTTTTTCTCCCAGCAATTTGCCTCCTTGTAGCAAACAGCCTCGTGAGCTTCAGCACAGCCTGATTTAGCATGAGCAGCTGATTGGCGGTTGGATTGGCCTCCTGGAATAGCAATGATCAGCTGTTCCAGGCTGCGGGGATTGCCGCTGCCCTGTGGTGCCATCGCTGCCTATCGCCACTGCCAGCTCCATGAGCCCATTTTCGGCCTCCGGGCCCCATTTTCGGCCCCTTCCAGGAGAAGGGGATGGGCGACAGCAATCCCCGCAGCCTGGAACTGCTGATAGGCAGTATTCCAGAGGCAGATCCAACTGCCAATCAGCTGCTCATGCTAAATCAGGCTGTTTGCGGCAAGGAAGCAAATTGCTGGGAGGCAGAAGCTGAAGGGTGGGGGCTGGTGGATGAGCGCGGCTTCGGTAACATTAGCTCTATAAGACGCACAGACATTTCCACCCACTTTTGGAGAGTGCGTCTTATACTCCAAACAATACTGTCCAAAAGAAGAAGACAATACTCCAGGTAGACAGGTGTTAGGAAATCAAAGAATACAGGAATACAATAGCAGAGTTGGAAGGGACTTGGTCTTCTAATCCAACCCCCTGCCTAGGCAGGAAACCCTATACCGTTCCAGACAAATTGCTATCCAACATCATCTTAAAGACTTCCAGTGTTGGGGCATTCATAACTTCTGGAGGCAAGCTGTTCCACTGATTAATTGTTCTA